TAGCGTTTTATTCGTCAGGTATGTCGTCGTGGTCTTGATAGAGCGCATAAGGTGCTGAGTTGCATGGTCCATGGTGTCATGGGAAGGTGGTGCACACGCGTTAACCACGTCATAATGATGATTAGCAATGCTGGGACCAGCTTTTGAACATCTATGTGAAACCAACATCTCAATAAGAACAGCTTCTTCGCGTCGTCTGCCTGGAAAAGCAAATGCACGATGAGGCGGGGGCCGATGAGGTTTGCCAAGTCGACGTAGTAGCCCCTCGTGAGATGCTCTCGAAAAAAACGAATTTATATGAGCGATGCGAGCGTCCTCCAGTTTTGGTATTTGACAGCCTGGACTGCGATGAGATTGGTGCGGACTGTGACCAGTAGCACGTGTCTTTTCGAGTATACGTTGGTGTTGAGATAGAAACGCCTGAGGTTCGTAGAGGGACTCGTCATGTCCAACGCCCTAAAATTCGTTCTCGTATACAGACTGCGACCATAAAATAATCTTCCATGTTTCGCCAGGTGCATCCCATTATCGCGGGGAACGTCGATTCGAGCTTTTCCGAATCCATCAGTTCGTCTGGTTCAAATCGTATTCGCCGAGAACAGGACATTGATGATTAACGTGAACGTTGCCGTCGCGATCGTCGAAAAACTCCTGTCGAGCTTAAAGGATAGGTAGTCGGATAAAACTACATCCACCTTGGCAGCCAGCCTGGGATAACTTAGGACTCCATTCTTCTTCGGAGCGTCGACGGAGAGAGGTTCTGCGGTAATTGCGGAGACGTCTGCCGATGCATTTGCCAGTAAGAATACGCGCGAGGTGCCGAGCTTCAGCCAGTCGTCTACCTCGCCAAGCATTTTGTAGCCCGAGTCGACGTTGCCCAGTAAGTTCTTTGATGAGGGTAGCGCGTAAACGAATGCGTCGTTTGACGCGGGGACGTCGTGAAATATTGCGCCGGTGCTGACACGCATAAAAACAAATCTCAGGAGAAGAACGTTGACCGGGCTGAAGACATTGAAAGCGAATATCCCGTCGTCGTTGAAGTAAATCTTGTCGTTCGCGAGAATGTGGTCCTGCTGGCTGTTGCTTTTTATTATGCCATCGAAGTCTGCTGCGGGAGGTAGGAGACCATTTTTCGATAAGCGCTTCCCATTACTCAGATGGGCTCTCGTGCGAAACAGCGTCAAGTTGGTCAGCGCGTTGTTCTGTCCATTTGTCGAGCGCGAGAAGAAACTCTTGTCGCTTGCAGCCTTGCACGCAGTATTGAACCATCGAATCCTAATCCCATTGTATATGATGTAGGGCCTCTTGGCCTTCATATCGTAAGTTATGCTCATGTAGCGCATAAGCTGGGTGATGATCAGTGCGACGGGTACCAGAAATAAGTTGGAATCTATCGCCAAGTGATCGCAATGTCTGACATTCGGAGATATGGTGCGGCAGATAGAAACTGCGGGCCACGATAATGAACGCAATGTAGCTAGTAGAACCAGACACGCCATGATAATCTGTAGGTGAAGTCGTGTAAACCGTGTTGGGTAAACTAAAGGCATGCTTGAGCAAGAAGTCGAGCAACTGTTGAGTACGCGGCTGCTGCAAACTTCGATTGAAGGGCCCAGTGCACGTATCATCGGTAGGGGTGTGTCCATCGGGGGCCCTCACGAGGCCGATCTGCTCGTTGGAATCAGTGCCCATGACAGGTATGTACGAGACGAAAGAGATGTGTATGATTTTCTTCTAGCCAATCCAACGTTTGTTTGTGATCTCGTATGGAACGGGACGTGTCTGTATTGGGGGGAAGTAAGCGGAGATGAGCGTGACATCCGAATGCCGATTTTTGCATCGAAGAGCGCCCCCACGACCCCATAGGCATTGCTGCTTGGGATAGGACACGGGAATAAGATTGGATCTGGAAAACCTCTTGGAAGATAGTGCGATTGCAACACCTGTATGTGCATTGACATGTTTGGGATGATATTCGGAAATAAAACTGATGATAACCATTGTCAGTATAGGTACCACATGGATCAGATTCATGAATGCGACGACGGGTGCCCGGAATGAGAATGATGCTAGACTTGAGGATGCTGATGATGTCTTGAAATCTGTCTTGTTGAAGCAAGCTGAGACAGCTATACGATGATACAGAGACAGTGTGAGCGACCATGGAATGCTCTGTGCGTGTAAGAACCGAATGCTCACCGCCCTGCTGCCATGTGCGCGAGCATGCAAGAAGATACGGTAACAGGTATGCCCGAAGAAAAAAGGGTGTGCTGAAATGGGCTGAGAAGGAGGAGGAGGAGGAGGAGGAGGAGGAGGAGGAGGTGGAGGAGGAGGAGGAGGAGGAAAAGGATAATGAAAAGGAGGAGGAAGAGAGCAGGAGGAGGAGGGCCCCCCAAAGTCGACCAGATCTCAGGGGCCCCCCAAAGCCGGCCAGCACTCGGCGCCTGCCCGCCGCCGCCGCGCGCCTCCGCGAAACGACGGCGGCGGCCGCCGGCCGCGGCCTGCGGCCCGCAGCGCCGCCTCAGTCCAGCGAGTCCAGGGCCAACGGCTGCCGCGGGCGCCCCTCGGGGGCCTCGCGCCGACGACCGCCGACGACGGCGACGCCCGAGGTGGCCTCCCAGGCGGGCGCCTCCTGAAGCCCGGAGCCCCCCCCCAAAAAATCGCTTTCGTCTCTTGGGGCCGCATCTTCTGTTTCCGCCGCCTTCCGCCGGCCTTTCCTTTTTTCACAGCACTGCGCCCAACTACCTTCGGGACGGACGCTTCGTGAGGGGCCAAAGTCAAAACCTACCGAAATCGGCGCATCCGCCTTTCCGACCTTTCCGCCGGCTTCCGCCGGCGCAGGCGGCCTCGCGTTTTACTTCCGCCGACCTCCCGCCGCCTTCCGCCGAGGCAGAGGTGACCACTCCTTCGATCCTCGAAGGCAGGATTGCAAAAAAACCCTTGCAATCCCTTGAACGAAGGATTGCAAACCAGGGTTTTTTTGCAATCCTTGGTTTTTGTTGCAATCCTTCGGCCCTTTTTGTGGAACGCCTCAGGTGGCCGAAGAGGCCCCCAGGACGGCTCAGCGGGGGCGACCAGAGGACCTCCAGCAGGGCCCAGAGACGCCCCAACGGCCGATGTTCCAGGCGTGCTTCAAAGACTTGGGCGGCTCCGCCTCAGCGAACTTCCTTCGGTTCTTGACGGCCCCACGATGTGCCCTAGCCGGCCCACTCCTCCAAGACGGCCTCAAGGCAGCCGAAGAGGGACCCTGGACGACACAAGACGGCGCCCAAGAGAGCCCCAAGCTGGAACAACAGGGCCTCTGGAGGAACGCAAGACGGCCTCAAACGGGGCCCCTCGACGGCTCCAGACGGCCCCACTGAGGCCCCACGACGACCCCCAAAGACTCCCCGATGAGTGCCCAAGACGGCCCAAGAGGGCCCCGAGGGATCCCAGACTGCCTCACAGGAGCCCAAAGACAGCACAGAGACGGTGCCAATGAACTCCATGGGATGTCCTCAAGAAGAGAGGGCGACAAATGTCTGCCGTTCTATTCCTCCGCCCACTCTTCACTTGGTACGGCCTCCTGCGTGCCCCCTCGAGCAGTCGCCATCTAGAGTGTTGGGCTGGCACGGTGGCGGGACTTGCCACGGACAGCTGGATAAATTCCAGAGGGTCCAGTAGGATACCAGTAAGATCCCAATCAAGTTCCAATCTGAAGTCCAATCGGATTCCAATCAGGTCCCAATCGGACTTCAATCGGACTCCAATCGAATTCCAATGAGATCCCAATCCGATTCCAATAGGATACCATTCGGATTCCAATAGAAGATGAAGTAGACCCCAATCAGATGCCAAATACCAATAGAATTCTGATAGGAGCACAACAAACACCAATCATACTCCAATTGGATATTCCACCAGGTTCTTATACAATCCCATTTGGATTTCAATTGGATTCCTAAGCGTCCCAATCGCATGCCAGTAGGATTCGAATCGGATACCAATCGGACTCCAATGGGATTCCAGCCGGACTCCAAAAGGATTTCTACTGGATTACTCAGCATCCTTCTGCCCCACCCCCCGCGGGTAGTATTTTCTGTGAGTTGCGGTGCCGCTGTCGGTGCGGGGAGGAGTGATATTCCCTGGAGTGGTCTACTCCTCAGAGCAACAGAACAAGCACTGTTTGATAAAAGGTCTCTCACGGAATCAACATATCCGCAGATTCTCCGACTCTCCCCTCATTCTCTTCGCTCTTTCTCTGCTCTTGATTTCCCCATCTCTCTCTTTCTCTCTCTCTCACTCTCTGCCTCGCTCTCTCTGTCGCTCTCTTTCTCTCCCGTCGACTACGGCGGGCCCACACGATTACCCCCCCCCCCCCTGGCGCATCCGCAGCGCGTCGTCGTCGGTCATCCGTCGTCGGCCGCCGTCGACGTCGACGTCGACTATCGACTACGGCTGGCTCACGCAACAGCCCCCCCCCTCTGGGGCATCCGCAACGCGTCGTCGTCGTCGTTTTCGTCGGTCGTCCGTCGTCGGTCCTCGGTCGTCCGTCGTCGTCGACTACGGCGGGCCCGCGCAGCACCCCCCTGGGGCATCCGCAGCTCGTCGTCGTCGTGGTTCGTCATCGTCGTCGTCGTCGTGGTCGTCGTCGTCGTCGTCGTCGTCCTCGTCCTCGTCCTCGTCGCCGTCGTCGTCATCGTCATCGTCGTCGCCGTCTACAGCGGGCCCATGCAGGCCCCCCCATGGGGCACTCGCAGCGCGTCGTCGTCATGATCGCCCGTCGTCGTCTGCCGTCTGTCACCTGTCGTCGTCGTCGTCGTCGTCGTCGTCGTCGCGTCGTCGTCGTCATCGTTGTCGTTGTCGTCGGCTAGGCTTGACGATTTCGATGGTTATCTTGACAAACTTCCGTGGTATCGAAGGCATTATACGCATGATTCCTTGTCGATGAGAACGCAATCAGGAATCCTTGTTTACTCATCTTGCTCCCACAGCCCAACCACCGCGGAAGTATTGAAATCCTGACTCTGCCGGGGTGCGAAACGATTTCCCTCGGCCTTCCCTCCCACCTCGGGAATTAACTAATCTAAGTGCTACGGGTAACGCTGGGAGGTCGATAATTGCTTCTCACGGTTTCCGCTGTCGTCAGCAACCTGGGGTATCTCTGCGATCGCTCTTATGAGCATCGTTGAACCAATCCCCATCCCCAGCGGCGTGGTCTGGGCCCCACTGGCCTACTTACCCCCCTAGATGGGGACATGGGTCGCTCCCTTCGGGTTTCGAGGGGTGTACCCCCAACTGGGGTGGTAATTTGGTGGGGGTCTCGAAGGTGTCCCCTGGATATCGCGCTCAGGCCCGCCGCGGCCCGTTGATCGGCGACGGAGTGTCCGCGGCCGCTACCAGCAGGAGGAGGAACGGAGGAAAACGAGGAGCAGGGGGAGGAGCAGGGGGAGGAGGAGGAGGAGGAGGAGGAGGAGGAGGAGGAGGAGGAGGAGGAGGAGGAGGAGGAGGAGGAGGAGGAGGAGGGAGACGGGGACGGGCTCGGATCAACGATACCGCTCTCAGGATCAGCTGGGGGCCTCGGCCACCGCCGCCGGGACGAGCTCTGCCCGCTCCACCGGCTCGGCTCCCAGCCTGGCCACAGGGCTGCACTTAAACGGAATTATTCGTTTTCGTTGTGTTTTGATGTCGTTTCCGTTTCGTTTTCGTTTTGCTCTCGTTTTCCCCCGCTTTGGTTTCGAGTCCGCCTTCACCGCAGAACGAAGTCGAAACGAGAACGGCCCACGAAGTCACCAAAAGCACCGTTTGGGTCCAGCCCTGCCTGGCCATGGCCTCTGCGCTGCCGCGCCTTCCGACCCCGTGCAGGTGGTCGGAGAGGAACTCCATCAGACACCTTTCAAGGGGCCCAAGGACAAACAAATAAATACACACAAATAAAAATGTTCCCCATATTTTCATATATTTTCTGGGTGTTTGTCTTCCCGCCCAATTCCCCTTTGTTCATATATTTTCTTGGGGATCGACGATGAATTGTGCCTGTGTGTCTTTTCCCTCCTGAAGCTCCAGGCACCCCGAATCAGCGCAAGCAGCGCGGCAGAAACCCTTTTCTCCTCCCCGACCTCTCACCCCGAGAACCGTGCTTCGCGCTTCGAGCTGCGCATGTCAGGCGCGGGAAGAGGTGCGCGCGGCCCGGAAGTCTGCTCCAGACATGCTCCCGTCGTGGTGCCGCTCGAGCGGAAGCTGAAGCTGAAGCTGGCAGTTCCAAGCGAAGGCTTCTGCTCAAAACTGACGCCAAACTGGCGGCTAGAGCTGGTGGTGGTGGGGGGGCTCGAAACGACAGGTGAAACGTGCAACCCATGAGGCACGCAGGAATTTGCCAATGTACTCACAGGCCAGAGGGCAACCGCCTTGTCGCTGATGTCAATGCAATCGTTATTGCCGACCTCCCAGTTGTCCTTATCGTTACGGTACGACTACAAGTGCCAACACCACGATCACAAAGCTGTATGTAGCAAGTGTGACTCCAAATTGGGATCGGCGGGGCACTCACTCAGCAACCAGTGGGTGGTAAGCAAACCTCCGCATAAGCTGGAACCGCGCAAAAGCAGCAGCCAGACGGCCCCGAAGGGAAGAAAGTACGTAAGCAAGCAGGCAAGGACACATGTGAGCAACACGCAAGTATCCACACGCATGTACGCACACACAGACGAACACACACACACGAACAAACAAACTAGAGAAAAACGCGACAATGAGCACGCAACCACGAACGAACACACGCAATCTATCACGCAAGTGAACGACCGATGACGCAAGCAAACAAGCAACCATGCAAGCAAGAGAAGACATGCGCATACAACGCGTGACCAGTAGCAATCGAGCAAGCACTCACGCAAACAAGCAGGCAAGCAAGCAGACGCAAAAACACAAGCAATCAAGGACATATCCACGCAAACGCCCAAGCACGCGAGCAGGCAAACAAAAAAGGAACTTATTGGGAATCGGAAGCGGATTCGCAAGCGCGAGCAAACAGGTGATTCTGACTCCGAGTTGGGTTCAGGCCCATGCGCGGCTGTGGAACCGATCCCATGAAAAAATCCGTGCAAACTGGTCCTTCCCGAACCGGTTACTGAAAGGAGGGGCCGAGGGCTCCATGCAAGCTCTAACCCGGAGAGAGAACTATTTGCGCCACTACGATCGCAACTGCCTCCGCCATAGTTACTGCTCAAAAAACTCTGCACCGAAGACTGCACCCACAATTCTCGCCGGACACCTGCATTCCTCGGGGTGGTCCCCGCGCAGCATCTCTCCACCGCGCGCGGGGAAGACGCACAGCCTCACGGCCTCCTCTCGAGAAACAAAATTAGCTTGGCGAAAGACCCAACCGTATGCCGTAATGAATGCCGCAATGGCGAATGACGTATTCGGTGGCGTTCTCTATGAGTCCACGAACCGTGCGAGGGGTGCGCCGACAGATGTGCCGGGGTACGCAACACGAACGAATGCGATAGGTATTAGTGCGATAGACTAAGCGCGGGTGAGTCTGAGCGCGAGCGAGCATGATTGGGAAGGAATCTGCCTGCGAGCGAGTCTACGTACATGAATGCGAGCACGACTAGGACTAGTGTGAGCGTACATGACTGCGAATGGTTTGAATCTACCTGACTCTGAGCCCTCCTGCGGCCCTGTCAGGAAGAACTCGATGCGCGGCGACGACGACGACGGCCTCATCCTGGTGATGACTGACCTCCTCCTCCTCCTCCTCCTGTTCCTCCTGTTCCTCCTGTTCCTCCTCCTCCTCCTCCTCCCCCTCCTCCTCCCCCTCCTCGTCCTCCCCCTCCTCCAGCTTGTCTTCCTCCCTCATCCGCTCGTCCTCCTCCTGACCCTCGCTGTCCGCATCCTCCTCCCCCTGCTCGCCTTCCTGCAGGTCCTGCACGAGCTGATGGGAAAGGATCCGCATCCACACGCTGCCATGGAGGCCCTGGGTTACGCTCCCCGTGCCAGGGGTGTGCCGAGGTGTGCGGCGCGGACGCACGAGGCCGCAGCCACTGGGGCCTCACGTGGAGCTCCCTGTGGGGCCACGAACCGCGTACAGTCGGGGCGTTGACCTAAGGAACCCTAAATAAGGAACGAGGCCCCTCCTTTCCCATAAGTTAAACTTCGATTTCCCATCGAAAACCTTGGGAAAACATGAGGCGAGCTGTGAAACAATCAAGGAACACGGAGCCCCCCCCTCAACGAAAAGGGTTCCTTCTTCAGGACCCCTACTGTAAGGGGTGCGCCGAAACATATTGACGGCGAGCGCGGGGGGGAAGTGAGAAGGGGCGGGCCTTCTCAGAAGGCCCGGAAGTCCCCAGGCCCTCTGAGAAGTTTTCTGAGCCTTCCCCGAAGACAGGGAAAACTTCTCAGAGGGCGCGAGGGCTTCTGAGAAGTCCGACCGCCTTCTGAGAAGGCCTTCTCCTTCTCACTTCCCCCCCGGGCGCGCCGCCAATCAGAGACATGCGGACAGCAGAGGCACGGATGCGAAGAGGGAGGGAAGGAGGGAGGAGAGGGAGGAGAGGGACCAGTGTAAACCCAGGAGTCATCAACGATGTTGACAGAAGCCCTCCCGCCAAGCTCCCTCTTCACAGGCCCCTACAAGGGTTCATTTCCACTGAGGGAGCTGCCTCGTTGGCAGACATCCATTGAAGACCCTGGAATATGCCAAAACATGATTCTCGGGACTCCAGCGCCACGGATCAACCTGACTGTTGCGTCTTGATGATCCCGAATCGCGCAAGAGAGCCGATCCTGTGACTTCAACATCGCGAATCAACCTAACTGTTGCGCCCTCACAATCCTGAGCCTCTCCAAACCACCATTCCTTGGTACGTTGAATATGGGACCCCGCGAACACCTTGCAACTTTGGAGAAAAAGGGAATGCGCGCAGCGCTAAGGCGAGAGCCACACGTTGAAAAAGAATCGCCCTCAATCCGTGAAGCATTGCACATGTTGAAAACGAATGTGCGCGGCGCTCACACTCGGCGGTGGACAAACCTCCCTATAGTAAACCTTCCATTCGTGAGAACGGCCTGGGACCGAAACCGACGGACCTGGACCCGCAAAAATGACGGCCGCGACGCCCTCTCGCGAACCGAAAACGGCCAATTCCTTATTCGACGTGTCCGGGTAGGAGAGTCTGTCCACCTCCGAAACACATTTTGAAAACGGGCCGCCTCCAACCCGTCAAACTCCTGCAAGAGTTTAAAAACGAATGTGCGCGGCGCTAGGGCGAGAGCAACACATTGAAAGCAGGCCGCTTTCCATCCGTGAAGCTCTTGCAAATGTTTAAGCTTCAGGGTCGTAAGTGGTGAGAAAGTCTCGAGCGAAACGCCCCATCGCCCTAAAAACTGGCCTCGGGTGCGACACGGATGAATTATTTGTAATGAAACAGAACGGAGGAGGAAAATGTGGAACACTGTAGTTCCTGATGGGGGCAACGAGCCGTGTGAATAGTGTGCCGGCATGAGCGGCGGGGACGCATGCGGACGTCGCCACTGAGGCCTTTACTTGGCGGGGGGGGGACGCATGCGAACCCCGCCACTGGGGCCTTACGTGGAGCTCTCTATGGGGCCACGAAGCGCTGTACGGGGTGTGGGAGACGCATGTAAACCCTGCCACTGGGGACTTTGGTGGAGTTCCTCATTTGTTCAAGATGCGCTGTACTAGGCGGGGGAGACGCATGCGAACCCTGCCACTTGGGCCTTACGTGGAGCTCTCTATGGGGCCACGAAGCGCTGTACAGGGTGGGGCAAACGCATGTCAACCCTGCCATTGGGGCCTTCGGTGGAGCTCCTCAAAGGGCCGCGAAACGCTGTACGGGGTGGTAAACCCTGCCACGCGAGCCTTCGGTGCAGCTCCCTATGTGGGCACGAAGCGCTGCAACGGACGGGGGAGACGCATGCGAAACCTGCCGCTGGGGCCTTTGGTGGAGCTCTCGATGCGGCCACGAAGCGCAGTAACTACTGGGCGGGGGAGACGCATGTCAACCCTGCCACTGGGGCCTTCGGTGGAGCTCTCTACATGGCCACGAAGCGCTGTACTGCGGGGGAGACGCATGCGAACCCTGCCACTTGGGCCTTACGTGGAGCTCCCTATGGGGCCACGGAACGTGTGAGGGGTGTGCCATCGGTGATGATGATGATGATGATGATGATGATGATGATGATGATGATGATGATGATGATGATGATGATGATGATGATGATGATGATGATGATGATGATGATGATGATGGATGGGATGAGAGGAGGGATCAGCGGGAAGGAAGGAACGCGTGGCGCTCTCTTCGAAACGAGGGCCCAACACCCCAGAATGGTTGGGTGGTTGGGAACATCGCACAACATAAAGTTCCGAGGTCCGCTCGGACTCCTTGGATCGGCGCTGCAGCCCCCTGGCGACGCCTCTGGTACCGCCTCTGGCGCGCTCCGCGCGCCGGGGAAGGGGGTCCAGCGCCGATCCAAGAAATCCGCGCAGACCTCCAGTAGTTAGTGTTTATGTATTTGTCTGTTTCTCGACCAAGCGCGGCCTGACCGACCCCTCGCAAACCACCCCATTCCGTGACGTCCGCCTCGTCTTTCGAGTTTCCCTCCGGCCGCATACGTACGCCTTGGGGCGAGGCGAGGGGGACGTCACGAAAGGGGATGGTCTGCTAGGGGTCGGTTAGGCCGCCCCTGACTCGATGCTTCTTCGAGGATCTACTGAATCGGGTCAACCCAGGTCAGTCAGGCCTTGCAGGATCCTGCAGGATCCTGCAGGATCCTGCAGGATCCTGCAGGGTTGCCCGGCTCAGTGCAGCCTGGACCCTGCAGGATCCCGCAGGATCTGGCGCTCTGGCTGACCCCCGTTTGCATTGACCCTCGTCTCAAGGCTCGCGACACCCCGAGATCCGACGTAGCACAAAAAATGCAACATCGCAAACAAAATCACGCCTGGAGCCCTAGATTCCATCTTTCTGCGCCGTTCTTCGAGCCGGATCGATATGTGAGGGCCCTGGGGCCTGAGAAAAGGCGAAAACGCCCGGCTCGAGAAAATTGAGACGCCAGGACCTCAGAGTATTTAGAGGCCTCCCAGGTGGGGTCCGAACAGATGGGGTCGGAGGATCGTGCCGCATCGCGGACACATCGGCGATGCATCGGCGACGTCCACGTGAGGCAAATCGGGCTGAGCATCGAGCCGACTCGGCGATGCATCGGCGATGCGGCGCGATCCTCCGACCCCATCTACTCCCACCCCATCCAGGAGGCCTAGACTCAGAGTGCTTTTCTTAGGGGAACAAAAAGGAGGTCCGCGCGGACTTCTCGGATCGGCGCTGGACCCCTCTCCCTGGCGCGCGGAGCGCGCCAGGGGCGGCGCCGCAGGCGCCGCCGGGGGGCCCCCAGCGCCGATCCGAGAAGTCCGCGCGAACCTCCGAGCTCGTATGTTTGTGTCACTTTCTGTTCCCCTAAGAAAAATACCCTGAGTCTAGGGCTCCTGGATGGGGTGGGAGTGCTTTTCTGTAGACTCGGCGTACTTTTCGGCTCCTCGATCCTCGCCCGCCCCCAGCGCCGTGCGGAGGTAGTCCACCGATGCCTGCGCAGCGTCCACCCCGACGGCCTGGGGCGGCGGGGCGCGGGGCGCGGCTCCCCGCGCGCGGGGCCGCGGAGGCTGGCCTCTCCGGGGGGGAGGAGGAGGAGGAGGAGGAGGAGGAGGAGGAGGAGGAGGAGGAGGAGGAGGAGGAGGAGGAGGAGGAGGAGGAGGAGGAGGTGGAGGTGGAGGAGGAGGAGGAGGAGGTCGACTGAACTCAGCCTAGAGGGCCAGGAGTGCGAGCACGAGAAGGGCATCCAGGCTCCGCAGCGAGCCACGGTCAGAGTCGCCTCCGACAACACCTGCGCGGGCATCGTCGACAACGTGGGCAAGCGCGTGCTTGGACAAGCACGTAAACGAGCATAGGACGGAGCCAGGACGAGGATAACATCGGGTGAGGATAGATCGAGGACCTCTGAGATCCGGCGGTTCTGGAGGATGCCTCGGGCGCCGCGGCCTTCTCGGAGCGCTTTGGAACGCCCTGAGTGACGAAACAACAACAAACACCCATACCCATAGGGGGGTCGGAGAGGGCTATGGGTGCGTGTTGTCGAGCGGGGGTCCCCACTCGAACGGGAGCGTTCCCCAGGGTCCGACAACCCGCACACATGCCCATGGCCAGTCCTCCTCCCAACGACCCCCCTATGGGTATGGGTGTGTGTCGTTTGTTCGTCACTGAGAGCGTTCGGGAGCGCTCTGGAACGGATTCGTCCTCGTCCCAGCCCCGTCCGAGAGCAGGTCGTGGGCGAGCGCGCGCCCGAGGTCGCCGCCCAGGAGGTGGAGCCCGGCATGGGCCCGAGGTGCGAGGTCCCCGGGCGCAGGAGCGCGCGCGATCGGCGTGCCACGGGGGGCAGGAGTCCAGAGCACGAGCAGGAGGAGGAGGAGGGGGGGGAGGAGGAGGAGGAGGAGGAGGAGGAGGAGGAGGAGGAGGAGGAGGAGGAGGAGGAGGAGGAGGAGGAGGAGGAGGAGGAGGAGGAGGAGGAGGAGGAGGAGGAGGAGGAGGAGGAGAGGAGGAGGAGGAGGAGGAGGAGGAGTGGGAGGAGGAGGAAGAGGAGGAGGAGGAGGAGGAGGAGGAGGAGCACGAGCAGGAGCAGGAGCAGGAGAAAGAGGAGGAGGAGGAGGAGGAGGAGGAGGAGGAGGAGGGGGGATGAGAAGGTGGGGAAGGAGAAAGGAGAAGGTGGGGGAGGAGAAGGAGGAGGAGGAGGAGGAGGAGGAGGAGGAGGAGGAGGAGGAGGAGGAGGAGGAGGAGGAGGAGGAGAGGAGGAGGAGGAGGAGGAGGAGGGAGGGAGGGAGGGAGGGAGGCGGGGAGGGATGGGGAAGGGAGGACGGAGGGATTGGGGGAGGGAGGCCACGGCGCGAGGAGAAAGGGGGACGAGGCGAGGGCGGGGGGGGGGGGGAGGCGAGGACGAAGCGGCCCCCCTGCCGCCCCAGGCGTGGGGCCCACCCGGGGGTAGCCTGTGATGGGCCTGTTTGCCACCACCACCACCACCATAAGTTGGAGGGGGAAGGAGGTGGGGGAGGAGGAGGAGGATGAGGAGGAGGAGGAGGAGGAGGAGGAGGAGGAGGAGGGCCCTCTTCCCCTCCTGCTTATGGTGATGGCGGTGGAAAACAAGCCCACCAGCTTGTGGCTGGAGCCAGCCAGCCGCGGAAACGGAGCACCCTTCTGGGGGCGAAAATGAAGCCAGAACTGCTACGACGGCAGGGGGAAGACGAGTGCGACGACGAGGACGACGAAAGTGACGTGGAGCGGAAGGAAAGTAGCGAGGAGGAAAACACCTATTCCATCGAAAACATATCGAAAGTTGACTACTACGATCTGGCAAGCGACGATTCCGAGGGGGCATACGCTGCCGATATCGGCAATGCCATAGCGAGGTCTACTACGCCGAGGGCGCCAACAGGCGAGCCCTGGAACAGTAGGGCAAAGGCAAGAGCAATGGCAAGCGTAATTTCTATGAGTCCTACGGCCACTACGAGACCTACTCACACGTCAAGGGCCACTCTAAAGGCCACGTAGCCATTGGACTTGTGACAGCTATGCGGCCCGCTCACCACGCGTAGGCGGCACCAACCAGACCGCCTCGCCCTGGAGACCTACGCTCCGCTGACTAGCCAGCTCCATGCCGCCCTTGGGGCTACCTGCGACGGCGTTTTGCGCGTGTCTTTCTGGGGCGTTGTTGGTTTCTGGCTCGTTTCGTGCTTCTTCCATAGGGTCCAAAGGTGCGAAGATGATGTGTGGCACGCCCCGAGGGGTCCAAGGGGGCAGGGAGGGCGTGTTCCCATGGCCCCAAGGGTGCCGTCGAGCCAGAGTGCTCACGACAAGGCTGCACCGACTGAGAGGAGGAGGAGGAGGAGGAGGAGGAGGAGGAGGAGGAGGAGGAGGAGGAGGAGGAGGAGGAGGAGGAGGAGGAGGTGGAGGAGGAGGAGGAGGAGGAGGAGGAGGAGGAGGAGGAGGAGGAGGTGGAGGAGGAGGAGGAGGAAGAGGAGGATGAGGAGGAGGAGGAGCAGGAGGAGGAGGAGAGACATTTCAGCCTCTCTCCCCTTCTCCATCCTGTGTGCTCGTGTGAGCGCGGGTCCTCCCTCTCCTCCCCTCCGTCTGCCCGGAATGGGTAGGCTGGACACGTTCGGACTTGCCTCAGGCCCTGCCAAAGGTGCTTGGTCAGCGGGATCGCTGTGGAGCCCAGCGTGAGAGAGGAGGAGTAGGAGGAGGAGGAGGAGGCGGAGGAGAAAGAAAAGGAGGAGGAGGAGGAGGAGAAAGAGAAGTATGAGGATGAATAGGAGGAAAGAGGAGGAGGAGAGGAGGAGGAGGAGAAGAGAGGAGGAGAAGAAGACGGAAAGGAGGAGGATGGGAAGAGGAGGAAGGAGGAGGAGGAGGAGGAGGAGGAGGAGGAGGAGGAGGAGGAGGAGGAGGAGGAGGAGGAGGAGGAAGAGAAGACGGGAAGGAAGAGGAGGAGGAGGAGGAGGAGAAGGAGGAGGAGGAGGAGGAGGAGGAGGAGGCGTGCCCAGACAGAGCGTGGCCTCCGAAGGCCATGCCTGGGCGGCTGTCCGCCGCAGGCTCCCAAGGTGACTCGCCTCGGAGGGCTGAGCGCCCTCCCTCGCACACCAAAGCCGTCCTGTCCAGAGGGTGGCCCGCCCCGGGCTCGGTACGACCTGCCCGCCGCAGGCTCCGAGGGGGAGGGGCTGTGCGGGGGACTCCCCCTCGGAGTGCTGAGCGCCCTCCCTCGCACACCAAAGCCGTCAGGTCCAGAGGATGGCCCGCCCCGAACGCGGCACGAAACCGACGGGTCCCGAGGGAAACGGGACCTGGACCCCCAGGGCGGCCTTCTCCCAGGAGTGCCCAGGGAGGGCCTCTCCTGTAGAGGCCTCCTTGATGAGGTCGGAAGGTCGCGCCGCATCGCCGATGCATCGCCGATGCATCGGCGATGCATCGGCGACGTCGGCGACGCATCCGCGACGTCGGCGTGGGGAGAATCGGGCTTCACATCGAGCCGCATCGGCGATGCATCGGCGATGCGGCGCGATCCTCCGACCCCATCTGCTCGGACCCTATCTGCTAGGTTTACAGCAGGCGGGTTGTGGAAGGAAAATGTAAACATAGCCAAAAAATCAGCCGGCCCCTTTGTGGGGCCACCAGGCTGCAGGAGCGGGATTCGCAGTTTCCTGTACCAGTTGTAGCTTGTAGTTTCCAGTGTTATAGTTCTGCTTATTGCTGGTTACTGTAACTAGTTGATTGACCGCGCAAGTGCCACCCCTCACGCAGATCCGCGGGGTCAGGGTAAAAAAACATAGGGGATTTGCCACATTTCTGAAATTCGGTGCCACCCCTCACGCAGATCCGCGGGGTCAGGGTCCAAAAACACAGGGATTTGCTACATTTCTGAAATTCGGTGCCACCCCTCACGCAGATCCGCGGGGTCAGGGTCCAAAAACACTAGGGATTTACAACATTTCTGAAATTCGGTGCCACCCCTCACGCAGATCCGCGGGGTCAGGGTCCAAAGACACAGGGGATTTGCCACATTTCTGAAATTCGGTGCCACCCCTCACGCAGATCCGCGGGGTCAGGGTCCAAAAACACAGGGATTTGCTACATTTCTGAAATTCGGTGCCACCCCTCACGCAGGTCCGCGGGGTCAGGGTCCAAAAACACAGAGGATTTGCCACATGTCTGAAATTCGGCGCCACCCCTTACGCAGATCCGCGGGGTCAGGGTTCAAAAACACATGGGATTTGCCACATTTCTGAAATTCGGTGCCACCCTTCACGCACATCCATCGCAAGGCGTGGTAACCCAAACTGCGAGAACTCCCTCGGCCCTTTAATCGCAAGGTGTGGTAACCAAGCCCGTAAACCATACACGTCTTACCAATCGCCAGGTGTGGTAACCCCTCTTGTGATCAGTTGGTTTTGCTGATTGCGAATCGGCTTCGCATGAAGTTTCGATACTGCTTCACGACAGCGCCAAGGCCTCATGACTTAGCTCTTCCATGGCCCATTCTCCGAGAGAGGGGGCCGGCGGCAGGGGGCGAAGCCCTTACGGATATTTAAGCTTTGCCAGACACACTTGACAAGTACCGTAGTCCCCTGACTGTTTTGGGGATACGTGTGTTGATTATTCTTCCTGTAGGAGGACGTGCCCGACTTAACCCGAGGACCGAGAACGGCGACGAAAACTCGGGACCCGCTTGCCCTCGGGACCCGCTCGTGCTTCTGGCGACCGAGCGGCCTGGCCGTCCAGACCGCGCCGTCGCCAGCGGGTCAGAGCCGGGCGGTCGGACGAGACAGACTGAAGGAGCCAACCCTCCTCCTCTTCTTCCTCCTCCTCCATGCCTCCTCCATGCCTCCTCCATGCCTCCTCCCTGCCTCCTCCATGCCTCCACCATGCCTCCTCCTCATCCTCCTCCATGCCTCCTCCATGCCTCCTCCATGCCTCCTCCATGCCTCCTGCTCCTCCTCCTCTTCCTCCTCCTCCTCCTCCTCCTCCTCCTCCTCCTCCTCCTCTGAGACAGGTAGGGAGCCCACAGAACACGCACGCGTCCAACCAAGGGACCAAAGGACCTAAGGAGGGGGGAACGTGAAATCCAGGCCGAGATCACACCCCGGCAATGAGATCCGCACGCCCCTTGTCGCCACCCACCCTGCTTGGACACCCCCGATGCGTGCAACGTGGGGCGGCCATCAAGGAAAATACCGGGGGGGCGATCAGAAATGATGGGCCTGTTTTCCACCATCACCACCACCATGAGTTGAAGGGGGGAAGGAGGTGGAGGACATGGAGAAGGAGGACAAAGAGCAGGAGGAGGAGGAGGAGGACCTCTCCCTCCAACTTAGGGTGGTGGTGATGGAAGACACGCCCATCAAGAACGATCTGTCTGCCGCTGGGCGAGGATCTGGAGGGGACGACGACGACGACGACGCTCACGAGCAGGACGGGGGGCACCACGGTGTCAATCATCGCCCAGGGCGCCGGGGCGTGACGCCCCCCACCAGGCGCTTCTTAATCGCCATGCCATCCCCACCCCCTCGGGTAATGATAAAAGTCTGACGGGATGCGTTTCTCTCTTTTCGGCCCCTGGGGGCTCTCACAGGCCCTCGGGACCGTCCACAAAACGACTCGGGACGAGAAACTGCTCCCGGGGAAGTGGTCGAGACCGAGGGTCGACGTTATGACAAAGATCATCACGTCGGGGGTCTGGGTCATGAGCTTTCGCCCCGCGCGTCGCGGCGGCGGCCCCGACGGGTCGCTGTGCCCTGCGAGTGGACAGCGTGCCGCCCCACTTCGCGGGGCGAGGGGCAGGGAACAGCTCATGATATATATATGTAAATATAAATATAAATATAAATACAATTATACATATAAATATAAATATAAATGTGTATACATATATATATATGAGTATAACTATAAATATAACTATACATATAAATATATAGAGAGAGGGCGGTCCAGCGCCGATCCCAGAAATCCGCGCGGACCTCCGAGTTTTTTATGTTTCTGTCGTCGCTCGTTCTCGGCGGTGGACAATCCTCCCTTTAGTAAACCTCCCCTTAACCAAAAGCGCCTGGGACCGAAACCGACGGACCTGGACCCGCAATAATGACGGCCGCGACGCCCCCTCGCGAACCGAAAACGGCCAATTCCTTCATCGACGTGTCAGGGTAGGAGGTCTGTCCAACCCCGACGTTCCCCTGAATACACCTCCTCTCGACGACCGCCGTGCAGGCCAAAAGCTCCCCCGCCGTATACGATCCCGCCCCGGCGCCGTGCCTGGTCCGCCTGCCCGTGGATGAGCAGCACGCCCGGGGGGGCGCCGCCCGAGGCCTCCTCCTGGGCGTCGCTTGAGGGGGCCCTGACTCCGGATCCGCCCTACTCTGGCGCTTGTCCCACTCAAAATTGCATCGGAAATCCACATCTCAGAAGCCGAAGAAGTAGGACGGAAATTTACGCCCCCAAGAAGCAAGGCTGATAGTTTCGCCTTACCTTTTGACGTTTCTGGTCAAGTCCAGTAGGGCGGGAATTGGCATCGTCAAGGCTTGAAAAATGTGGCGGAAATTCCAGACCCAACTTGCGCAATTGCCCAAAGTAGGGCGGATCCGGAGTCAGGGGGGGGGCGATCAAGGGGGGCGGGAAGCTTCCCGCCCCCCTTGGCGATCATGTCTGGACACCTTCGAAGGTGTCCAGACGTGCTCGCGCCGTGCAAATAACAGGTCAGGACACAGGAGGTTTTTGGCCGTCTTCGGCCTCGGGGGGGGGCCTCGCCGGGCCTCTGGACCGTCAAATAAGGACTAAGGATTCAGAACCGGCCCCGGGGAAAGGGTCGGGACTTCCAGGGACCCCGTCTTGAAAAAATCAGGACGTCGCATGTCTTGGTGCCCCTCCTGGGCCCCAGATGGCCCCTTCCCAGACCCCCTCGCGCTGCGAAAGGTGCGCCAGCGGGAGGCTTTTCACAACGCTCGGCCTCTGGGGGCCCTTTGCCGGGCCTCGGGACCGCCAACAAACGCCTCGGGATGAAACACCGGTCCCGGGGAAGGGGTCCAGACCTCTCCCCGACTCCAGATCCGCCCTACTTTGGGGAAATTCGTAGGTCGGGCCTGGAGTTTCCGCCTTACTTTTCAAGCCCCGCTGATGCCAAGTTCCGCCCTACTTTTCTGGTACTGTTTCCGACCTGCTTCTGTGGATTTCCGCCCTACTTTATGTTGGGTGCAGAGATTTCCGCCCTACTTTTTCGGCCTCTTATAGGTGGATTTCCGACGCAATTTTGATTTGGAAAAGCCAGAAAGTAGGGCGGATCTGGAGTCAGGGCTGGGGGTCGAGGCTGTGAGAAAAAAAAACAAAAAAAACATGAAAACGACGTCGGGGGTCTGGGTGCAGGCGCCTTACAAGGCCCCTGTTCTGCAGCACTCGCTGCCCCCCCTTTTATCGGGTCGGGCGACAGTGGGGGGATAGCAACGAGGGGGTTTGAGAAGCAGCTCACGTGGCTGATCTTCCCGGCGCCTCCCGGCGCCGGAGGCGGCTATTTATCGAGGAATGGGCCCCTCGATGAGGCCGAAAACAGCTGCATGCAGCAAGTTTCGTACCCCCCCCTGTCCCAATCCCCCCATTTCGTCCAGCCCGATTTCACCGCCACCCCATCACGCGACGCGCAGCTCCTGCGGCACGCCGCTGGGGCTGGCTGGGGCCTGCCACCTTCTCCGAGGCGGCATGGCCCCGTCCTCCCCTGCAGGGCTTCGGGTCCGCCGTGCGCAGGGCAGAAATCCCACCAGCCCTTCAGGGCGTGAATGGTTCAGGGCGTTTCGTCTTCCGACCCCCCGTCCTCCCCTTCGGGAAGAGGAAGAGGCCTACCCCTCCCCCCCCCCCCCTCTCCCTGAACCTGAACGAGGGGGGGGGAGGGGAGCAGCGGCTAGTTAGAGCATCCAGGTTGGCCTCGGCGAGAGGGCCCAAAATCTTTGGTCGTGCGAAGGTTTTGGCCCAATGGTGGCCTGCTGGGGGGGAACGCAAGTTGAGTATCCCCACCTTCTTTGGTCGATCACCTCCTAGATGGCCCCAAGATAAGCCCCAGGCTCCCAAGAGTGCTGCAAGAGGGCCCCAAGAGGCGCCCCGGAGGCCCCAAGAGGCTCCCAAGAGGCACCCCAGATGCTCCCAAGAGGCTCCCGAGAATCCCCGACAAGGCCCCAATAGGCTCCCCCGAGGCACCCCACGGACTGCCAAGAGGCCCCCAAGATGCCCCAATAGGTCTACAGTCATCTCGCAAGAGATATCCGAAGGGATTCTAAGGAGCATCCCAAAAGCCTCTGGCTTTTCTGTTCGCCCTCCTCCTCCTCCTCTTCCGTCCTCATCCGCCTAATCCTTCTCCTCCTCTTCCTCCTCCTCCTCCTCCTTCTTTCTCCCTACTCCCTCCTCCCTCCCCCTCCCCCGCCCCATCCCCTCCCCCTCCTCCTTCTCCTACTCCTTCTCCTCCTCCTCCTCCTCCTCCTCCTCCTCTTCCTCCTTCTCTTCCTCCTCCTCCTGGTCTGGTTCCTCCTCCATCCGCCCCAACTTTCCGTATGACGGCGTCCCGACTGCATGCTCCCCCACATGCCTGATCAGAGCAACTCGCCTGGACAACATTTCTGGATGGGCTGGTGGGGTTACTTTTTAGTCAACGGCCGCGGGCGGAAGCGCCGGCGGCGTGTCAAGTCGAAGCGGGGCGCGCCAGGGACTAATTAACACCAAACTGGGGCACAGTACTGCCAGGGTGCGCATGCGAGAGGCCGAGGCGGATTAGGCAGGACAAACGCGGGAAAAAACAAACAGAGCGACGGGCGAGCGGCTGGCGGGGTCACGCGAAGCGTCTAGAATCCCGCCCTACTTTGCAAGCTCCCTGGATGTCGACTTCCGCCCTGCCTCTGCCGCCGCGCGGCTTGCGCCACACCTCCGTGGAGACTGTCCGCCCCGCCCTAGTTACTTCTCCCGAGGCGGGCACTGCCGCCCCCTTTGGTTCGCCATCGCTTGGGCCGACACGTCTCCCAACCGGAAGACCAACCAAATTACGGTTGTGTCGGGCGTGTCCCCCTACAGGGGGATGTTCGACGAAAAATGAAACATACCCCCAGCATGCCCCCCAACAGGCCAGAGAAGACTCGACAAATAGTCCCCAGACTATTTTTGGACTGTGTTTGGACTATTTGTGGGGTATTTTTCAATTTTTCGTCGAAAATCCCCCTGTAGGTTTTGACAGGCCCGATATAAAATTACGGCGGATCCGAAGTCCGGCCCCCCCCCTTCCTCTCTCCCACGCTCGGCGGCGCCCCCCTCTTCTCCCCGCCTCCTCCCCCGCCTCCCTCGAGGGGCAACACCCCCCCCTTCCTCTCTCGGCGGCGCCCCCCTCTTCTCCCCGCCTCCTCCCCCGCCTCCCTCGAGGGGCAACACCCCCCCCCTTCCTCTCTCCCACACTCGGCGGCGCCCCTCTCTTCTCCCCGCCTCCTCCCCCGCCTCCCTCGAGGGGCAAAACAGCGCGGGAGGGGCTGGCTTAAGGGGGGAAGAACACAGACCTGGAATCGGCGACGCAGCTATCGCCGATGCACCGGCGATGGGCCCTGATAGCGAATCCGCACCCTCGTGGGCGGGGTGGGCTACAGTCAAAAACCCTAATAAGGACGCGCGGTAAGGACGCAAGACCCTTGGAAGCCGAAGTTGGGATTTTTGGGGCGGCGGACGACGAACACCTCAAGGACGCAAGAGCAAGGAAGAGCAAGGACGCAAGGGTACCCTGAGCAAAGTCGCGCGTCCCTATTAAGGTTTTTGACTGTATCGGGCCCCTATTGGCGACGGATGGGCGATCGGGGGTCGATGCATCCCCCCTGGGCCCATCCCCACCTAACGCCCTAACGCTGCCCTCTTTGTTGTTGGGTCATGCCTCCGCTCTCTGGTGGCCGTTCGGGACGACCCGGGCACCCACCGAACGCTCTCGGCGAGGCGCAGCTGCTGGAGAGCACCCCAGGGCTGGAAAACCGCAGCGGGCCCACGACGACGTCTGGAAACCTCGAACCCTCCTCGCTTCCTCTCCTCTCTTCCCCCCCCCCTTCCGGCCCTCTCCTGCCCCTCCTCCTCTCCCGCCGCCAGCCTCCTCTCGGGCAGCACCTCCGTCGCCACGCCCACGGCGCCGCCGAGCGACCGCTCCAGGCGCGCACCCCGGTGCTCGACCACGTCGAGCGCCAGCGTGCCTCGAAGCATCGCTCGACCGATCCCTACCCCCGCTGGCATGGCCTTTTGGCCCCACTGGCCGCACTGCCCCCCTAGGCGGGGACACAGTGGGTCTCGCGGGGCCTATTCCTCCTCCTCCTCCTCCTCCTCCTCCTCCTTCTCCTCCTTCTTTCTCCTCCTCCTCCTCCTCCTCCTCCTCCTCCGCCTCCTCTGGGAGGCTTGGGGGGGGGAGGGGGAGGGGGAGGGGGGGCCCGGAGGTCAAGACCAGGTCGCGTCTTCAGGGCCCCCTCAGCCGCGCAGCCGGGCCAGGGCCCTCTGGCAGTCCAGCGTGGTTTGCGCACAAGGAAAAGCAGCAGGACCTCGGCGACGATGCTTCGCCCTGCCCGATGCCAATCCCCATCGGGCCACGGTGCCTCTGCCCCAGCAGGCCACCCGCCCAGGTGGGGGGGTGGAGGAGGAGGAGGAGGAGGAGGAGGAGGAGGAGGAGGAGGAGGAGGAGGAGGAGGAGGAGGAGGTGGCGAGAATACAGGCCCGCTTGCGGCGCCCGCTGGCGTTGTCTTGGGAGAAGGCCAATCAGAGGTCCTACTTCTGGGCGTGTGCGGGGAAGTCTTGTGAACGGGCGGTGTGGCAGCAATATGCGTGGTCCGAATGGGCTACGTGCAAGTCTCGGGAAGATGGGTCTCGTGAGGGACTCTGGTGCTCGGCTCAGGTTCTCCTGGACCTCTTGAAGGCC